TATTTAATAATAAAACCAGTAACTCTGAAAAACTCATTGATTTGTATATAGTTTTCCTTATTAGCTTTTGCTCTTATAAATTCAGTTACACTTAGAAAATGTTTCATTTTTTCTTTGGTGACAGGAATAGTGTTTTTCTCAATGAAGATTTGATAGCCTCTTATAAATGGTTACTTTTTTCATTCTGCTTTTAAGAGAAAGTACTTTTGTCTTTTTTACTCTAATCGTTTGGTAGTGTGTGAGATCATAAAGCAGGCCACAGCCAGTTTAATTCATGGTCTCTTGCAGACACCAGCCTTAAGGGACGTTAAGTCTCTGAGGGGCTGTGCCAGCTGCCACTGGAGGCCTTTAGATTCTAGGTCTGAGTACTTCTCCAAGGCCTCATGCTGCTCTGTAAGCGTGTGTAGGGTTTCCCTTTCCAGCCCTGGCCCATTAGTGGATGTGAAGAGTGTGGAAAGTTGCTGGCTGGATGAGTGCCCTCAGGCTGAGCTCTTTAACTCCCACTTCTTGGGTAACAGATGTTTGTATAGATGATAATTATGGTTTTTAACTCTTTATTTTTTGATCCCTTTCAGCTTCAACATTGCTTTATGGAATGTATGGTCATTTTTCACTCCATTTTTATTATTTACCCAGTTCATGGGGGTTGTAATGTTCATCTCACTACTTGGATGACTTCAAAGGTAAGCTAGCTGGAATATCTTGTTTTTAATCATGAACTTGTGAACATGTCTCTCAAGACACTTTTCAGTGGACTCTGCTGTAGTAGACTACTTGAGAGTGACTCCAGTCATGTGTGTGCCGGAGTTTTTCCCCACTGTTCTCTGAGATGAAAGGGACCGAGTCCTCTTTTCTTTTGTAAAATTTAGGCCAAGTGATGGCTTTTAGAGAAGGCACCTGCTTTTCGAAGTCTTCATAAGGATAGTATTTGCATCTTCCAAAATAAATTAGTTCACATGTCACACCATTTTATATTGAAGAAATTTTATAAAGAAGAAATGGATTAATCTCCTTGTTGCAAGTCTGAAAATATTGCTAGTGCCACTTGACTAGTGAGGTAAATAGTGTCTCCCAGATGTACTGTGTCAAGGGACCAGTGGGTGCCTCATTGAGGGAGGGACCGGTCATAGGCCTTACCTCAAGCAACTCAAGGCTTCTGAGTCATTCTCACACCACAGTGCATCCTTTCCTCTGACCCAACTCCCACCCTCTGCAGCCTGCAGGTCTTCAGTGGCTGTTTGATTTTGAGTTCTCCAGATGCTGGGGAACTTTTGACTTCCTACTGATGTGGTTTGTGATTGGCCATGGAGACCCAGGACTGTTGCAGGCATATAGATTTGAATTGCACTTCTAATGTTAAATTCATGAACTTAGTTGTTTTATTGGGACTAAATGCTGGTTTTCTTTCAGATTTAAGGACATGGAAATTTGAAGTGAATAGTTAAATGTCCAGCTTGTTGGAAGCCTTGCCGGCGGATGATGGGAAGGCTGCAGTGTGTCCTCGTTCCTGCCAAACAGGTGGGCTGCTGGGAAAAGCTGTAACTTGGTAGATCTGTTGTTAAAATCAGAATAAATCACCTTTCCACTTGCATATTATCCAATTCTAGTTGTGACTGGATTTTTCACAAATCTGTGTTATTGAAAAATAACTATTTTGCAATGTTAATCTGTTTGACTCTTTGGCAAAAGTAATTTCTTTAATATGTTCCCAGTATTTTAAATAAACTCTCCTGCATTTAAGGGACAGCAGTTCATTGTATCAAGTGACTAGAATTATCTTGTCATGTGCCTTTAAGCCAACTCTAGAAATTACCATATAATTCATTTTTTTAATAATTTTATTGGGTGGCAGGAACAGATGGAAGTATTTTGTGTTTTCCCATCACTATGGATTTTATCATTGTATAAATTATTGGGGGTTTTTAGTGTTTTTCTACATGAATTTTTAATCATTTTTAAGTATGTATAATTTTTCCTCTACCAGTTAAATAAAATATTTTTATAACTTTTTTGTGTGCATTGTGTTAATACATACTTTGGAATAGCTTCTGTAACTAGCTGTTAGCACTTTGAGTTAGCTATGGAAGGCTGGTCATCAGAGAAGGCTACTCTGCTATTAAATGACCCCATGAAGATAATTTATACTTTTCAGTGCAGATGTGCTTAGGTTAAATGTTTGGGAGCTTTTGACTTCCTGCTGATGTGGCCATAAGTCATAAGCATGTAGCACATTGATTCTGTTTCCTATAAAGTAACTGATCTAGATGCCACTTGTGTTTGGGGTAGGCTACACCCTGCCACTTACTGGCTACAAGACCTTCAGTTGTAATTGTTCATTTTCCATGACTCTGCAAGATGGATATCATGAACTGGGAATAACATGTTTTGCAGACTGACTTGTAGATAATAGAAATATATTGTAAAGCCCCAATTCCAGTACCTGGCACACAGTAGGTACTCACTCAATAACTGGTGATGGAGAGGAAAGTAAGAGAAGGTGCAAGCTAGGAGCAGGAATATCACTTTGAATGGTTATGTCTGCTGAAGGACAAGTCAGTTGTGGCTTGTAAACAGAATCCAACCTAGCCTGTGCACACATATGTAAAGGTGTGTAGAAAAGGTGTCATTTCAAATGGCAAGATCAGCAAAGGCCTAGGTCACCAGGTTGTCAGTGATGTGAGGGGCGGTCAAACCTGAGGTTGCAGACCTTGTGAGCTAGAGCATCTGGCTCAGACCCACTGAGGGGACTTGGTGGGGCCTCAGGACAGTGACTGTATTTGCTTTCCAGTGTTGTGATAAAATACCTGAAAAACTCAGAGGAGGTGGATTGATTTTGGCTCACAGTTTCAGAGATGTCAGTTTATGGTCACTTGGCTCCATTGCTTCTCAGCTGTGGTGAGACAGAACATCACGGTGGTGAGTATGAGGTAGAGTCAAGCAGTTCGCCTCTTGGTGATACTCAAGGATCTGGTCCTTGTTCCTCTGGAACACCTGAGAAACACTGAGGCAAGCGTAGAAAACAAGTTTTCTTTAAGAGGAACCGAGATAGACTTCTCTGGAAAGAAGTGGGGCTCAGAGCTAGTACCTATGGGAGTGGTTGTGTCTTACTTTTTTTTTTTACAGACCCCCCCCAAATCTACCCCATTTCCCCTCCCTATATGCCTAAGGATAGGAAGGAGCAGCCCGGGGTAATTGCTTGTGTTGGAAGTGTGATCCCTGGAGGTGTGATCCTAAATTAGCTGTTAGCAATCCTTTGCTGGTCTTTGATACCATCCCTCATCTTCTCAACCCCCATCATTTACTACCCATACTGACTGCTAGGCCTTCTGCCCCCTGCCTCAGTTTGTTAAGGAATGTGACATTTCCTATCCTCTCAGGCCTGGTGGGCCTGCAGGCAGATTACTTTTCAGCAAAGAAAGCATGTGGGGAGTCAATTTAGTGGGCTCATTTTATAGAATTATTTTCTTAACCTCAGTCCTCACCATTCTCATTTATTTGTCCCTTTACAGTGGCAGCCAGGAAGCAGAGAAAAGAGAAAGGAAGGGCCTGGGGACAATAAACCCTTTGAAGGCCTTCTTCTCTACTCCCTCAGGAGCTACTTCTTTAACTAGACCTCACCTCCCAAAGCAGCACCACCAGCTGGGGACCAAACCTTCAACACATGAACCTTTGGGGGACATTCCAGATTCCAACTATAACATCCTGCCCCTGCCCCCCAGAGGCTCATCCATCTCACAATTCAAAATTGATTCAGTCCACCTCTGAGAGTTCCCATAGTTGTAATGATTCTAGCATTGTGCAAATCCCAAAGTCTCTTGAGTCTGAAAGCAAACTGTTAGCCATGAACCTCTATTTAAAAAAAAAAAAAAAAAAGAATTCCAGAACAAAAACAAGCTGTATGCCTCCAGCATACAATGGCACAGGGTAAACATTCTGGTTCCAAAAGGGTAGAACAAAAGAATACCAAGAAAGCAAGACCAAAGCTCAGTAGGACAAACATCAAATCTTAAAGCTCCCGGTCAGGCACCTGGGCCATGTAGTGCATGATGTGAGCTCTAAGGGGCTGAGCAGCCTTGCCCCTGTGGCCTGGTTGGTAGCAGCCCACATGGCCAGTCTTAGGCTGGCTCTGTTTGCTGCCTGCAGCTTCCCTTAGCAGATGTTACACACTCCTGGCATTCCAGGGTTTCCATTGCAGCTTCAATTTCACTTTCACAGCTTCACAGCTTGCCCTCTCAGGGCTGCCTGGAAGAATTCCAGCCCTGTCATACAATGTCTGACCTCCCAGGCCTTCCTTTTAAACCTCAGTGGAAGCCTCCATTACCCAGTTGTTCTTGTATTCTGCATACCTGCAAAACAGCACCACGTGGACAATGCTAAGGCCTGCTGCCAGGGGGAACAGTAATTGGGCCCACTTACACCATGGCTGCAGAGGCCTCTGAGTGCCTAGACATTTGAACATGTTGAAATGATTCCTGGGAACAACTTCCTATATGGCCCTGTGTATGCAGGTTGCCCACAGACTTTCTTCTCAAAGCAAAGTCTTTCAAAGAAGTTTACACTTTTATGCCCAAGAGCCTGCACTGGGTGGAGTCTGCCCAATTCCTGAAACTCCTCCAAGGCATCTTTCCTACTATCCCAGGATAAAGCACTTGGTTTCTTTATAATGATTCTAATCTCTCCAGCAACCGCGCCTTCCTCCCTCGGCCCCAATTTCACACGGAACACTTTTCTGGCCACACTGCAAAGTTTTCAAATTTTCCTACTTTCCTTTTTCTTCCTGATTCTTACAATAAATCTGGTTAAAAACCACCAGCAAGGGGGTTGGGGTTGTGGCTCAGTGGTAGAGGGCACGCTTAGCATGCGTGAGGCACTGGGTTCAATCCTCAGCACCACATAAAAATAAAAAAAAAGAATTTGTGTTCACTTATATCTAAAAAATAATATTTAAACCAAAAATTCACCGGCAAGGGCTGGGGTTGTTGCTTAGTGGTAGAGTGCTTGCCTTGCATGCAGGAGGCAATGGGTTTGATCCTCAACACCACATAAAAAATAAAGGTATTGTGTCCACCTATAACTAAAAACATAAAAACAATATTTTAAAAAATAAACCAGCAGCAATACCCATTCTATCTCCTAAATGCTGTGCCGCCTTAAATTTCTTCCATCACACTGATTAGTTCATTATCCTTAAACTCAGCCTCACTGAAAGTCTCAAGACACTGGCAAAGTATAAACAAGTTCTTTACTAGAATGTAACCCCAATGGCTTCTATCCAATTCCCAGTAGAGTCGTCATTCCCATCTGAAACGTCGTGAGGATGGTTTTCTCATTCCTATTGGTGTTTCTGACCTTCCCAGTTCACATCAAAATCATGCATTGAGCGCTGCTTAGACATTCTAGGTCTTCTTCATCCTCATCTCCAAACCTTTCCAAACTCCTCCCAGGTATTAGTTCCAAAGGCTTCTGAACCATATTGTCAGGTACAGTCACAGCAACAGCCCAGCTCCTGGTATGAGTTTCCTATGTTAGTGACCTTTCCATTGCTGTGACAAAATACTCAAGGAAAACAAAGGAGAAAAGGCTTATTTTGGTTCATGCTTTCAGAGGTTTCAGTCCATGCTCACTTGGCTCTCGTTTCTAGGCTGTGGTGAGGCACAACATTATGGTGGGGAGCGGTGGAGCAGAGCTGTTCATGGCAGCCAGGAAGCAGGGAAAGAGAAATAAACCCTTCAACACCACCCCGTCCCTTGAGCTACTTCCTCCAACAAGGCTATACCTCCTGAAGTTCCCACCACCTCCCAGTGGTGCCGCCAGCTGGGACTAAGTCTTCAACACATGGGCCTTTGGAGGGCATTCCAGATCCAAGTGCTATTGTTTTTTGTTTTTTTTTTTCTCTCCCCTTAAAGGTAGTTTTACTATTTGGATAGAAATCTAAGACTGGGATTTTAAGTTTAATACAATTTGTTAAAACCCAGTTAGCTAAGGGCTAATACTGAAGTCAACTAGGGTGGTATGGAGATGCCTCTGTCAACTTAAAAAGATATTTAATACACTTCTGCCTGGCCCTTGCTCCCATTAAATAGCTTATGAATATTATTTATGATCCGTTTTTACTTTTTCTTATAACTATTAAAAATTGTGTCAAGTCATCCCCTTGCCCTTGAATAAGCTCGTTGCGAGGAGTACCCCTTGGAAGAGTGATGGATGACCAATCAACAGCTGTAAACCTGTCATCCACATCAGCAGTATGGAGGAAGTTCGCATGTGCTCTGACTTGACAGTTGGTGACAAGCTGTCCAGTGCACAGGTTCTGATTCTTCTTGTAGGTGAGACTGTCATCTTGTTTAAAGAACCCCTTAGAAAATTCCAGTGTGCATCCTGGTTGGAAAACTACCCTCCTCTCCACTCAGTTTGGATGGAGACATCTCTGTGGAAGCCAGGAACCTAAGGAAAATGGGATCTAACTTAGTTCATTAGGGTAGAAACCCAACTGGAGTTCCCCCAAGTTGGCATCTGGGACCTAGCTTGGGAGGCAGTGGTCTTTATAGAGAGATTGAAATTGGACTTAAAGTTCCTGTCTTTGTTTTATGCAACAAAAACCATTCTCTGATTATACTTGAGCAAAAGAGAAATACATTGGAAAGGAATCCAGGGGAGCACTGAAGGACAAGGTGTAGGGGGCAGTAGTAGGAGGTCTCAAGGTCTGGTTCCTAGAAGTTATCAGAGAGCCTCTTCAGTGCTCACCATTAGGATAAATGCTCTTCAATTTAAAAAGTTATTTTTGAGGACGCTGACTTGTTCATTTATGGATTCTGGTAGCTGTCTACACAGAATTTTTAGAAATACTATAGAAATTGCAAGCCAGAGTGTTTTGTATATGCTAACAAATAATTTTTTTTTTAAAGAGAGAATGAGAGAGAATTTTTAATATTTATTTTTTAGTTCTCGGCGGACACAACATCTTTGTTGGTATGTGGTGCTGAGGATCGAACCCGGGCCGCACGCATGCCAGACGAGCGCGCTACCGCCTGAGCCACATTCCCAGCCCGCTAACAAATAATTTTAGAGAAGCAGAATGAAGGTTTTTGATCGAAGAAGATTGAGGATTGAAGGGAAGAGTTGAACAGAAGAGTAAATCATTCCTGAAACGGACTCGAGGTCTCACCTACATCTCCTGGATTCGGTTCTGAGGCCAAAGAGTGGCCTCTCCCATTCTTGCCTCATGGGATGCGCAGCTGCTGACCCATTGCCAAGGCCACCTGGGCAACACATTTTAGGTGCAGCTGCAACTTTGACGAATCTTTTCCCTTCTCACTTGGTGCATACTCCTTATCTCTCGAGGTGGATCATTCCTATCACCATATAGATACATTCGAATATTTCCCTTCTCCAAACAAATCAAAACGAAATCAGTTTCCCTGATGCTTCTCCAGCTGTCACCCATTTATTTGTTCCCCTTTGTGGCAAAACTTCACCACAGAGCTCTCTGTGCTCACTATCTCCAACTCTGCTTCTCATTAAACCCTTTCATTATAACATATAGAGACGGAGAGCGGACTTAGTGTTCTGTCATGGACATGGATGGTGGAGAGGAGTCCACAGGGCCCCTTGGGGCTTTGTCCCTGCCCAGTGGCAGGAGTGAAGGGTGGGCTCCAAGGTCCAGCATGAGCCATACACCCACAGCTTCCCTTTCTCTTATAAGCACAACCTGGTTCCCATGATATCTTCAGGCCTGTCAGGACCTGTGAACCTGCCGATGGTGGTCAGTACAGAAAGCCTCCCAGGTCACCTCCGATGCCCACTTGCACCTGCATGTTCCAGATGCCAGTTGCTGCATGGCAAACCACACCCAAATATGAATAGCTTAAGAAGTGGTCACTGTTTTTTTTTTTTTTTTCCTGCTCAAAAATGTGAGATTTGAGCAGTGGTTGGTGGGAGCTGCTTATTTCCTCTCCAGAGGGATTTGACTCAACCTGAGGCTGGCCGATCCATTCCCAGATGGTTCTCCTGAGGTTGGTGAGTCAGGACCAGCTGTCCACGTCCCTCTGCATGGACCTCTCAGTGGGGCAGCTTGGGTTCATGGCAGAGTAGCTGGGATAGAGGAGTGAAGATTCACATTAGCTGCTTGTTGTTGAAAGAAAGCACCACAAACAACAGCTTAAGGCAATAGAACTGGATTATTTTAGGGCGTTATATGTTACAAGTCTGGTATGGGCCTTACTGGGCTAAAGTCAACATGTTGGAAGGCTGTGTTCTTTTTTTTTGGGGGGGGGGGCACCAGGGATTGAACTCAAGGCACTTGACCACTGAAACACATCCCCAGCCCTATTTTGTATTTTATTTAGAGACAATGTCTCACTGAGTTGCTTAGCATCTAGCCATTGCTGAGGCTGGCTTTGAACTCACCATCCCCCAGTCTCAGCCTCCCAAGCCACTGGGATTACAGGCATGCACCACTATGCCCAGCCAGGCTATGTCCCTTTCTGGGGCTCTAGGAGAGTCATTTCCTTGCCATCAGGTTGGCAGAATCCAGACCTTTCCAACTGCAGGACATTACTATTTCCTAGCTGGCTTTGCTGAGGGGAAGGCCTGGAGGAAGGTCCACATGATGCAAATGTAGCACGTTACAGAGTTTTAACAGACCAGCCCCCCACCACAGGGGGACTTGGGTAAGCCCACCAACTGTGAGAGCTTTGGCTATCCCTTGAATGGCTCCAGTCAAGTTTCTGTTTACCATACCTGGAGAGTTCCCATTATATAGACAAATAATATTTTAGCTAACATTTTATTTCTTTAATTGTAAAATTTGTGCACTTTAAAAAATATTTTTTGGGGGGGGGGCTGGGGATGTGGCTCAAGCGGTAGCGTGCTCGCCTGGCATGTGTGTGGCCCCGGTTGGATCCTCAGCACCACGTACCAACAAAGATGTTGTGTCCGCCGAGAACTAAAAAATAAATATTAAAAATATATATATATATTTTTTAGTTGTAGATGGACACAATATCTTTGTTTTATTTGTTTTTATTTTTTTTTAATGTGATGCTGGGGATCAAACCCAGTGCTTTACGCATGCTAGTCAAGCACTCTACCGCTGTGCCACAATCCTGGCCCTAATTTGTGCATTTTTATATATACACAAAACATTGTATCTGCTCATCATGTAGGCATGTTTTTTGGTTCTAATTAGTTATACATAACAGTAGAATGCATTTTGACACATCACACATAAATGAAGTATGACTTCTCATTCATCTGGTTGTACATGATATAGAATTACACAGGTCATATAATCATATATGCACACTCTACTATCCTTCCTACCCCCAAACCCCCTTCCCTCCCTTCACTCCCCTCTATCTAGTCCAAAATACCTCTATTCCCCCCACCTCATATCATGTTTTGAAATATGTACACATTATGGAATGGCTAAATTGAGCTAATTAACACACTACTCCACATATTTACCCTTGTTTTGTGGTGGGAACATTAAAACCTACAATTTTCAAGAATTGTATACTTTGCTATTAATTAGGTCACTGTGTTGTATAGTAGATCTCTTGAATTTACCATCCTGTCTAACTGAAACTATCATTTAACCAACATTCTTTCAGTGTTCAGGAAGTTACATTTCACTGCTTATTAAAAAGAACCAATTTGCAGTCCTACCAGAAATATATGAGTATTACCTTTTTTTCCCACATCCTTGCCAAAATTTATTGTTGCTTTTATTCTTGATAATTGCCATTCTGACTAGAGTGTGATGCATTGCTCTAATTGCTGGAGATGTTGAACATTTTTTCATATGTTTGTTGGTGGATTGTATTTCTTTTTCTGTGAAGTGTCTGTTCAGTTACTTAGCCCATTTATTGACTGGGTTATTTGTTGTTATTTTTTGGTGTTGAGGTTTTTGATTCTTTATATATCCTGGAGATTAGTGCTCTATCTGAAGTGTATGTAGTAAAGATTTTCTCCCATTCTTTAGTCTCCCTCTTCATGCTATTGATTGCTTCCTTTGCTGAGAAGAAGCTTCTTAGTTTGAACCTATCCCATTTATTGATTCTTGATTTTACTTCTTATGCTTTACTCCAGTGACACAGCCATATCAATATTTATAACAGCTCAACTCATGGTAGTTAAATTGTAGAACCAACCTAGGTGCCCTTCAAAAGATGAATGGATAGAGAAAATGTGGTATGTGTATATACACACACACACACACACACACACACACACACACACACAATGAAATATTACTCAGCCTTAAAGAAGAATTAAATTATGGCATTTGCCAGTAAATGAATAGAGCTGGAGAATATCATGTTAAGTAAAATATGCCAATCCCCCAAAAACCAAAGTCCAAATGTTTTCTCTGATATACAGATGCTAATTTATAATAGGGGGTGGGGCTAGGGAAGAATAGAGGTACTTTGGATTAGATATAGGGGAGTGAAAGGAAGGGAGGGGTATAGGGGTAGGAAGGATAAAAGAATGAATCTGACATTATTACCCTATGTACATATATAACTACATGACCAGTGTGGTTCTACATCATGTACAGTCAGAAGAATGAGAAATTATACTCCATTTATGTGTGATATGTCAAAATGCATTCTACTGTCATGGATAACTAATTAGAACAAATAAAAATAATTTTAAAAATATAAAAAAGGAATCAAGGTATTAGGGGCCAAAATGGAGCAGATCATAATCCACTTATGTGTGAACATGTTAAAACGAACCCTATATTATGCAATTATTCATGCTCTATAAAAACATTTTAAAAAGAAATTAGCTCAGAGGCAGAGTCTCACCTAATTTTACAAAGCACTTTCCCATCCATTATGTCTCTCATAAATTGGCTTGGTTTAACTGGCTTTGTAGGGAAGGAAATATTAAGAGGTGATTATATAGGGGAGTTCATATTCAGTGAGACAAGGTAAGGCTAGCTGCTGTAACAAATATGTCTTGACTCTGCAGTGGTGTTGCCCAAGGGGACATTATTTCTCACTTGTGGAAGCTCCAGCTTCAGCAGGAACTCTGCTGACAGGCTCTGCCATCTTCAGCATGGCTGCAAGGTGGCTCTAGGTGTTGGTATCAACATCCAGCTGGTTGGAGGGGAGGACAGAACATGGAGGATCATGGAGGAGGTTTTCCTGGTTTGGGCCAGGAGTGTGCACATCACTTCTGATCATATGCCACTGTTCAGAACTTAGCCACTTGGCCATTCTAGATGCCAGGGGTATGGGAAGCAGAGTCCCCACTGGATTGTCATTTCCCAGAAACTACAAGATAGAAAAGCAGCACTTGATGGACACTGGCTGCCTCTGCCACAGCCTCAGCTCAGTGTCTGACACCCAGAATGCTCAGTCCAAACTGTCTTGGTACACTGAAAATCTCAGGTAACTTCCCAAGTGCTTTTGATGTAGCAACTCATTTTATTCTCATAGAAACATTAGGCATGGTCATTTTTAAGAACCTCATTTTATAGATGTAGAGACCGAGACTCAGAAAGGCTTAGTTATTTGTTCAGGGTCACACAGGAGTAAGTGATGGAGTCCAATCCACATCCCAAAGCCTGACTTAAGAACTCCCCTATATAATCACCTCTTAATATTTCCTTCCCTACAAAGCCATATTAAACCAAGCCAATTTACGAGAGACATAATGGATGGGAAAGTGCTTTGTTAAACTATGAGGTAAAATAAAATCAGTTTGGCTTAGGTTTGGGGTCCCAGTCCCCTGCTAGGCATCAGGTTCTCCCTCTCCTGGGTTCTCATGGCACATGGTACAAACTGTGAATTTCTCATTGCTGTCCCCAGGCCTGGCACAGGACCTCGCGCATAGCAGGTGCTCAGCACCTTTCTCCATGGATCACAAAAAGCACATGCTAGGTGTCCAAGAGAAGAACGAGCCAGACATTTTCTGTCTTTAGGTAGCTCAGAGTCAGAAAGGGTTAAATACAGACAGTTACTGTGATTGGTGAGAAATAAATGTGATGGAGAGGGGGACAAGTCCACAGGGAACGCAGGACAGCAGGCCGAGTAAAGAACCTTTTATTTCAGCTACCATCCTCCCACCCATCCCACACATCTTCACTGAGTACCTACTTTGTGCTGGGCACCACTGTCTTATGTGCTGGAGACATGGAAGTGACCAAGCCCAAGTCCTTCCCACAGAGCCTTTGTTCTAGTGGGAGAGAGGCCACAGGTGTCTGTGTGGCAGGAGCGCTTGGTGAGAAGGCGGGCCAGGTATGTGGGCATGGCATGGTGTGGTGGGCAAGCTGCCTCTCCTGGGGTCAGTCCCACACCCTCTGTGGCTGGCGAGGAGACCCAGGCCTCCTATGCTTGCTCCTGCGGCCCTGCAGTGGTTCACTCTTGAAGTCACTAGTTTACTTGCTGAGTGTTTGCTGGCTGGGCTCTGGGCACAACTGAGGACACAGGGCTTCGGGCGGAAACGGCCTGAGTCCAGGCTGTGGGTCACACTCCTGTCTCTGCACATGCTGGGGCATCTTTCCAGGTGCCCTTCCTGGCTCCACCTGGCCCATTATTCCTGGATATAAACCTGTGCAGGTGTATTCTCCTCCCTGACCTCTGGGCCTTCCTGGCAGACAGGGAACCTCAACCCTCCTTCCAACCTCCCCTCCTAGCAGTCTCCTCTGTCTCCCCCTCTGAGACCTGGGTTCCTTGAAGGGGAGAGGTAAGCCTCAGCTCACCAGCCAGTGCTAAGAAGTCAGGTGTCCCTGGAGTCCATCTCCATCTGCACAGCAGCTCCACACCAGCAGCCCTCATTGCTGAATCCCGAGTGCCTGGAACGGAACCTCACTGTGGAGAAGTGTGTAGATCAAAGGCAGGTGTGTGTGTGGGGGGGCAGGTAAGGCAGGTCTCCAGGCTGATTCTCTGCGGGAGCCCAGGGCTTCCCGTCCCCCTGTAGCAGTCAGGACAGGTTATTGTGACTTGCTGGACCCAATACGAACTGGAAAAGGCCCCCTGGTTTAAAAATAAAGAATTTCAAGACAGCAAGAGAAGTGTTATTCTGAAGTGGCACCTCTTTTCTCCACAGAAAAGCCCTCTTCATCATGGCTGATTTTAGGACTGTCAGCAAAAGAGTCTCTGCGAAAGAGTCCAATGTAGATAAACTTCCTATTTTCGAGTCGCCCTGTTTACTTGGCCACTGGCCGGGAAGATACCAGCACTCCAGGTGCTGGACACCCCCTTACTAGTTTTTCACAAACATATCCAGTATAGTACTTTGTAGAAATGTGCAAACAAGGCCTCTGGCCTTGAGCTGAGCTTCACAGAGATGTCTACATTTTTAAGATAAGTTACAAATGGGCTCCATGGTAACAGCTGGCAGGGGGAGGAAAGAAAGGGGAGATGAAGCTCTCCCCTTCTCAGGGGTTGTCCTTGAAGAATTAACTTGCCCAGAACAGTGAAAGAAAAAGCTGCTTTTATGTGAACTTCTGCAGACTGTGAACTTCTGAGTCCCTCCCCTTACACGCTGGGTATAAAACTCTGAAACGCCCTGAACTCGGGGTTCAGGGGATTAATTGATTACAGCAAAAGCTGTGCCCTCTGAACCTGGCTGCAACCAAATAAAACTGTTTCCTGCTATCTTCAGTGCCTTGCCTCCTCTGTCCCTACAACGAGTCCACAGGGCAGGGGTCATATGAGAGTCCACCCTGGGTACCCCACAAGGTGCTTACAAGCCAGGCCCCTCCTGCCTTTTCTGGGTTCAGATACCCAGGTTCTACATTCCTCTTTCTCGTGCCCTTAAGGTCCCTGCCTCTCATCTTAGTCACCTTCAACCTTAGGACTTGGTTTATTTTATGTTTTTTCAGAAACCTGCCTGGATTTCCTCTTAGTGGCACCAGGGTGGAGTCTTTAGGGAACACAGCCCGCTTCTGGGAGGGGTCTGTTCCAGGTGCGCACTGAGGGCTTTGGAAGGGGAGCCCAGGACTGAAGGACAGAGGGTCGGGGGATTTGGGCAGCGTTCCTTGTCCCAGCTCCGTCCTGAGGCTGAGACAGTCCCCACTTCCTTGGAGGGCGAGGGATGATCTCTTCCTAGGAAGTGGCTCGGGTCCTGTTCCGCGTCTGAGCATATTGCCCCCAACATACAGGCATACCAGCCCGACAAATAAGAGACCCACAAAAGGACGCCCCTCCTCCTCTTCCCCACCCGGGTCAGACACAGGAGCGACCCACACAGAGACCACAGATAGCAGAAATCCGCAGGGATCAGAACAGACAGACGCACGGATACACGCACACCCGCAGGCTCGCCCCAGCTCTGGGAGTCCAGCTGCCGGCTGCACTGGCGGCCGAGCAGCTGTGACTTCAGCTCCACCGCAGCCACACCCCCAGCTCACTCCCTAGGGTTACAACAGGGCGACCCTGTCCCCTGTCCCTACACTACCAACTCTGCCAGTGGGCGAGAGGCAACTCTCCTGCTCTGCGTTTCCCGGGGGCGCGGGAGTGGCTGTGGGCGGGTGTCGGGCAGGGCTGGCCTGGGAGCGCGGGATCATAAGCCTGGAGAGTCCTGGGAGGACCCCAGGGGTCGCGGCTGCTGAGAGGGGACGCGGACAGTTGAAATCGGGAGCGCGTAGACACCTGGGGCAGGGAGCGGGAGGTAAGGGGACGGGAGTGCCTTGGCAGAGGGCACCAGGCACCGGGGCAGAAGAGGGTAGGGCAGGGATCAGAGTGGCAGTAGGTGAGGGGGCTGATTGACAGAGGGCTCCAGGCAAGGACAGAAGCCAGGAGCAACAGGCGGGGACAGCCTCACACGCCTCCTGGCGAGACCAGGCTAGATCTCTTGAAGATGCCCGCGGGCCCCGGGACACCCGCCTCGCCGGGAGCATCAGCAAGCGCCTCGGACCGGGGCTCATCGGGGCCCCCAGACTGCCCGCCCTCCCCGCTCCTGACTCGGGGGTCCCGGGAATCCCCGGCCCTTAGACAGACCGCGGTTCGCGCCAGCGTTCCGCAAAAGCTGGCAGAGACGCTGAGCAGCCAGTACGGGCTGAACGTGTTCGTGGCGGGGCTGCTGTTCCTGCTGGCCTGGGCGGTGCACGCCGCGGGCGTGGGCAAGCGGGACCTGCTCTGCTTCCTCACGGCTCTCATGCTGCTGCAGCTGCTCTGGATGCTGTGGTACGTGGGCCGCAGCTACGCGCAGCGCCGCCTCATCCGCCCCAAGGACGCGCACGCCGGGGCGCAGTGGCTCCGCGGTGAGTGCAGCGGGCGCGCCCTCCCCTGCAGCGCTCCTTCCCTCTTTCTGGGCCTCTTTTCTGGCTCTCTCTTCCCGAGGTCCGTCTCTGCTTCAAACCTGGGTCCCCTCTGTCCTCAGCTCTTGCCTTACATCATGAAAATCACAGTTTCACACAGTGCTCACAGCTTTCCCTGAGTACAGCCCTGCAGTGGTGTCACTGACCCCAGGGTGCCTGCCACGCTCCCCTTCCTGGCACCCCCTTCCTGGCACCGGAGGACTCTGAGATCTGGCTCGGATGGCGCCTTTCCTCTCCTGCCTTCCGGAGCACTGTCCGGTTCCAGGCTCAGGTCACTTGCCTCCACGCCAGCTGCTCCCTCCTGCGGGAATGCCTTCCCCCTGCCCTGTCCCCTGCTGCTTTCCCAGCCAAGGCTCAGGCCTCCCCTATTCTTCCCAGGGGAGTTTTTCCAACACCCCACTTTGTGGTTCTGACCATGCCCTCCATTCCTGGCACTGGCCTGGGGGAGGGTCACTGTTCTTGAAGCCTCTGTTCCTCCACCACTCCCGGGAAGTTCGGTGACACTCTTTCCTTAGCACTAGAGCCCCCTCGGGGCCTGGGGTGGAACAGGTGCTAAGGAAGTGAGGCTGTGGAAGGGGCCCAGTACCCAGGAGCCACTCTGCCTGGAGAGAAGCACTGGCTACTTCTCAGGACACACTCGCTGACACTGTAAAGTGGGACCCCTGCCTCCTGGAGATGCTGCTCCTCAGCCCTGGTGCCAGGGGAAGGAGACGGACCTGCCAAGGGCCACAGGAGGCCGTGGGAGTGGCTGTGAGAGGGCTCCAGGAGCGGACAGTGCCCTGTACACCAAGAGGTCTGGACACACCACACACCTCTACTCAGATTCTCAGGCTGGATGGGAATTTAAATCTCCATTAGAGTGGGCAGGTGACTTGGTGGCCTCGCCCACTGGGGGCCCCAGACTCCGCCCCTGCAAGCGGAGCTCTCACCCTGGATGGGCTGAGGTTGCTGGCACAGAGTGGGCACCGGCACTGTCAGCTCTCCTTCCCAGGTCCTTCCCCCTGGTCTGGCCCCAGTGCCACCATCCCCCGCTGTGCCTGGCAGGAGGGGCTCCCCCTCCCGTGGCCACAAGGTGCTCTCTGTGGGGCTCTTTTGTCTCTCATCAGTTTCTGCCTCATGTTGTGACTAACAGGGACCACATCTAGTCTTTGGGGAAACTAGATTCCACTCCAGGTGGCCCAAACTCCTCTCTGAAAATGGCTGTTTTAGGATAGTTCGTGGTTTGAGGACTCTGAGTGACAGGGAGTCCATTGCCACACAGGACAGACACACCCAGCAGGACATCCATCCACACAGCCTAAACAATAAAGCCCAAGGTTTGCCTGTCCTCTCCCGCAGGGAAGCAGCTGTCTTTGTCCTTCTCTTGCTCTCTTTCTCCCCCCTTTCTTCCACCATCCCTCCTTCCCGCCACATCCCTCCACGCCCATTTCTTCCCCACCATCCTTTCTTCCCTCTCCTCCCTCCATTCCTCCTCTCTTCCTTCCTTTCTCCCTCCGGGGCCTCATCCTTCCTTCCTCTCCCCCTGTTCCCCCTCTCTCCCCACCTCTGCCCCACCCCCTCCCTCTCCTCTGGGCTTACTTAGGGCATGGGCGGAGTCCAGGCAGAAGTGGCTGTGCTGTTCCAGGCGTGGGCAGCCAGAGGGAACGATAGGAGAGAACGGCGTTTCCTGGTGGCCCTGCTCTATGGGGCACGTCTTTGTGACCTCAAGTAGAGGTGGAATAAATGAGGCAAGATTGGGAGAGCACAGAGTGGGCGTCCAGTAAGGGGTGGTGGCTGCTTGTCCACTCAGCAGGTCGCCCCTCAGGACATCCAGCCAGGAGGCACGGGGACCCTGGAAAGGGGTTGGCTTTGGAATCCTTGACTTGGGGCCTCTGTCCCATCCCCAGTACCTCTGAGTTCCCACCAGTAAGTAAGAAAAGAGCCGCAGCTGCTGGGCTGGGCTGGGGCCCAGTTGTGGAGCACTGGCCTGGCATGTGTGAGGCACTGGGTTCAATTCTCAGCACCACGTTAAAAAAAAATGAACAAATACAGTTAAAAAAAGAAGAAGAATTGCAGCTGCTGCCTCTAGGGAGGAGCTGGGGGTGCCGAGGGAAAGCAGTTCGCCATTCCCATGGATGAGCTGAGTGTTCATCAAGAAAACATGAAGCAGTTACGAACCCCAGGGGACTGGGTGCCAAGAGGAGGCACTCTCCATCCGGTAGGAGCTGAGGTTTTGCTGGATTCATAGCTGGAAAGAGAAGGTCAGCCTGGGAACCCAGCTCTCTCCTGTCCTGGTGCCAGAATCCTCTATGTGTGTGAATCTCTGAGATCGAGCCATCTGTGAAAGTCCAGGCCCTGAGGCTCTCTAGAGAGGTGCTGGGCTCCGGATGGCTGCCAGGCATCCCTCAGGGCAGGGAGGACTCTGGTCCAGAGGGTGGGTGTGAGAAAGGGAAGACTTTCTTTGGAACAGAGAGTATTGACCTACCTGAAGAATGGCAGCAGAGTGGCTTATTAGCCCAGCTTCTCCACTTGCTAAACGAAGGGACTGGTTTCATCCAGAGCGATGGCAGCTGACACCCGGTGCCTGCCATGACACCTGGTGCCACCTAACGAAAGACCACTTTGCCCCAGTAACGGCCAGGGTCCTGTTTCTCTTGGTTTCTATGCTAAGGTTGGCACGGTGGGGCCATGTTCCCCTTGTCCAAAGACCAGAGAAGGGTTTTAAGGCAAGTGGCGGGAACAGTGGTGGGAGGAGCCCGAGCCACAGCTGCTGAGAGGTTTGGAATGCTGGGCTCATTACAAGCACCCTCTGGTTACTAGTAAGTGCTTCTGCTGTGCGTATGAATCGTCACCCTCAGATTTGCTCCTTTCATGAGCTCAGATCCTCATTTAGCCTCAGAGTGAGGCCGGTCCGTGTCTGTGACTCATCTCACCTTTGTCCAGTGTGCCAGCCACAGGCCACCTGGAAGTGGTTGCTCAGAGCACTGTGGTCCTGGTCCCCTTGGCTTAGCAGACAGGGGGCAGCTGTGAGCTATGGCAGGTCCAGAGCTGTGGAGATCAGGTCCAAGTGGGGGTGCAGTGGTCATTTTGGGGGGAGGAGGTTGTCACCTGGTAAGAAAGTAAAGGTTGATGAAAGGGCTGGGTCCAAGCACGTGTGTGTGTGTGTGTGTGTGTGTGTGTGTGTGTGTGTGTGGAGGGCTGGGCACCCTCAGGGATGGTGGTCAAGAGCAGAGGAGGAGGGGGAGAGGACACTAGAGCAGAGGAGAGGGAAGGTTCCTGCAGCCCTCCCTTCAGGGAGCTAGAGCCTGGTGGGGCGGCCAGGGCTGGCGTGGGGGTGGCAGAGCCCGTGTGGGTCCTGTGGTGGGGTGTGAAGACTTGAGGAGGCCGGGTGGGGGCTCCCCATGGGTGCTTGTGCACGACGGCCAGGCTTTGCCTGGCTTTTCCTCCTGGGAACCTACCCCTCCCCAACTGTGCAGCTCCCTGCTTCTGTGGGCACAGCCTCCCAGACGTGCCTCACTTCTTTGGGCTTCTGTGCCCGTCCCTGGTCACAGCTTGATGGAGACAGAGTTTGCACACTTTGCAATTCACCCATTCAAAGCCAGTGTTGTTTTGTTTGTTTTTAATTTTTGATGTAGGTGGACAGAATACTCGTTTTATTTTTCTGTGGTGCTGCTAAGGATCAAACCTAGGGCCTCATACGTGTTAGGCAAGTGCTCTGCCACTGGGCTCCAGTCCAGCCCTAAAGCCAGGGTTTTTAGGACATGTGTAGAAGTGTGCACCCAGAGTCATGATCAGCACCCTCCCACTGCCAGATGACCTCCTGTACCGTAGCCATTGACCCCTGCTCTCCACTCGCCTTGGGCAATTGCTGGTCCACTTCCTGGCCCACAGATGGGCCTGTTCTGGTCTCTTCCTATGAACACAGTGGCACAACGTGTGGCCTTCCTGGTAGCTTCTTTCCCTCAATCACCGTGTTTTTGAGGTTGGCAGGGCTGGAGGGGCTGCGCTCATTCCATCTGCTTGGTGAGGCAGCAGAAGCGGCCTCAGGAGGATGGCCAACTCCCCCTTACTGGAAATATTCGAGCAGGTGTGTGCCATCGGCTGGTGACAGAGGGCCAAGGGACGCAGTTCCACTTTGTCTCCGTCTTCTCCCTTGAGCGGGAGGGCCTTTGACACCTGCAGAGGGCAGCAGAGAGCCACGCCCTGCACAGAGGGCACTGTTGCTGGGCGCCCTTAGGTTCGCTTCTGTTCAGCAGCCTGGACTGGGTGCCACTCTGCCTGCTGGGCGCTGCGGGGCTCTGGGGTGGAAGGATGCTCTGGCACGGCCCAGCATAGACAGGAAGGGGAGGGTGGGACACCAAGGGGTCAGAGCATGTGGCTGAGTGTGTGGCCTTGACAGGGCACAGAGTGGCCCTTGTCTGCCTCAGTTCCCTCATTTGTAAAATGGGGATGCTGCTGCCACCTATCACATCGGGTGACCATGGGAACTGGGGCATGACCTCATGTGCAGTGCTGAGGACAGCTTCTGGCACACAGTAAGAGGAACACGTTATTATCATGAATAAATGAGTTTTGTGACACACAGGATGGGAGACAGACGAGGAGCCTGGAGATGGGGATTTGGGGGCTTAGGGAAAGGCCCCCAGAGAAGAACTTTCCATCTCTGCTGGTGTTTGGAGGTAGTTCAGAGAGGCCAGCAAGATCCGCGTTGTGTAGAACTCTATGTGGCAGGCGCTGGACTTGGACTTCACCCAGTGGGTCATGGGGAGGCATCGAAGGCCTTAGAAAGGGAACGATGTGACCGTGTTTGTGCTTCAGAGCAATCACTCTGCCTGCAGGTGGGACCTGGGTTTGAGAGGGGTAAGAAAAAAGGCTGGAGGTCAGTTAGGAGCCAAGAGGAACCAGAACACCTAAGCTCTGGGGGAGCTTCTCTGTATTTTAAACTGATGACCACACTGGATACA